ACAGCAAAAATAATGTTAGACTTGTTTCTGGTTAAATACTAGCTTTTAACCTGTTTGATTACAACAATAATTTGCTTTGTAATATTATAGGAAATTGTATAGGCGCCTACAGACATTGTTCTGATTGTAAGTGTTCATCTTTCATTATTTTAACATTGGCTCCAGACGTTTTTAATCAGTTTTTATTTAGTTCTTCCCCTTGGATTCTTAATACTGCAAATCTCTCTCATGAAACTGAAAATCAATGCCCAGTTTTATGATTTTTCTTCATGATGAAATAACACAGTACAGTTCAAGGTATAAAGTTTACATTTAATATAATGAATCCCAGTGTGCAGTCTTGCAGCCTGTTACAAACAGAATCTTGTGAATGAATGTGGATTTGATGTTTGTCAGTAGCTACATTTAAAAAAATATATAATATAATTAATATATATTATTTTTGTATAATACAAATTTAGTAAACATTATTTTATCCATCTTCAGTATTCTGACATATAACCTGAATATGAGTAATTTTATTACCATAGCCTATTGGTTTATTACTATCATATATTATAATTATTATAAATTAAATATTTCACACCAAAACAATTTTTTAAAATTTATTTCCAGTATAATGACAGTTACTAAAATAGCCTAAAACTGAAATAAAAATGTACTTTACATATTTTTAAACATGTTTAAAACAATAACCAATTAAAATAGTAAAAACACAGCAAGTTACTAAAACGTTAACTACAATTAAATTGAAATTGGAAATTACGAAAATAAAAAGGAATTCAAAATGTTAAACAAAATTATAATATCTCAGTTACACTAAAATATCACTGGGTGTTATGCCTCTGTATGTTTTACTTGTGTGTTTTTTTAATGATTTTAAAATAATTCATTACATACAGTACATTAACATAAATGAACAACACCTTACAACAAACGCTACCAACATCCAGTGTGCATTTATGTAACTATATAAATATTATATTTACCTCAATATTAATTTATTTCATGTGACATTAGGGAATCCAGCAGCAGGTATGGGCAGCTGTTGTCTACCACCCAGATCCCCAGCTATCACCTACCTTCAAAGGGAGACACATTGTTTAGACGTCTGCAGAAGGTGGAAGAGCAATAGGAGTCTTCGCTGTCTCCTCCTTCTGGCATGGGGCAGAGGTACGGCGACACTTCTCTCTTCTCTTGGGTTCCTGTCGTCCCAGGTGGGACCATCCACAGACTGGATCTTGGTTCTTCCTTTGCCTGTCTCTCTCTTTCTGTGTCTGGTTCTCGCAGGGTTGATAATTTCAATGGGGGACTGAAAAACAGTGGCTCTATTTATAGGCTTGATTATATTTGGTGAGTGGCAACAGATGCTTCAGCGTGGTTGAACTTTGCAGAGCGGTAGTTCTGGATTGCAGGGCCAAGGCTTGTTTATGTTGTAAAATCTTTAACCAACACCCTCGGCTAGAAGCCAGTGGAGATCGGACACAGTCAGACATGGCATGAGGGCACGGGGAGGTGTGTTTTATTACAATCTACATTAAAGAGCTGTAAGCACTTACACTTGCCCAAAGTGAGCGCTGAGAATGTATGTATGTGTGACTGTTCTGCTGTTTGATTTAAGAGGTGTTCTCAAATGATGTGCCTGAGGAACTTACTGTACCACGAGTAAAGAGCAGACCTCCAGCATATTACTGAATTTGAGCTCTGGTTTTGTCTGGAATGATTGTGGATTTTATGGCATGTCAATTGTTAGATTTACTGAGAACTAGAGAACATTGGTTGAAAATTGTTAATTTGATGTTAATTTACGCTATTTACACTATTGAGGGTTATAATTGTAGTTAACTCAAACGGAACCTAAAATTAAAACCACTAAAGAAAAAAACATTACTTGAAATAAAATAAAAATAATTTAATAAAACCAATTATTCTGTTAGTTGCCAAGGCAACATTTCTCATTTTCATTTAGTTTAACTTGATGTACTAAATAACTAAAACTGAAATACAACAATAATAAAAAATGTAAACTATATAGACATAGATTAAAAAATAATAAAAATGGTAAAAACACAACCAAATGAATAAAATTCCAACTAAAATTAAAAGTATCTATAATAGTACTAAAATAACACTGGTCCAAACATTTCATCTTAAAATCAAGTTAAAAAAAACAGTTTTATACATATAAAAACACTTCTTTTTTGATCTTCTCTTATTTTTATCTGCGTTATTATAGACAGAAAATATAAATTCCCCACTGCATCAATAGTAAATTTCTCCCGAGGCTCTTTTCTTGCACTGTTTCCAAGGTCAACACATTTTTATTACTCATAGCTTCTCATGAACTTTGACCCTGTTAAGTTAAGTAAAAGCCGTTATAAAATGATTGCGAAAATCGTGAGAAAGGCCTTAATACAGATGGCAATGTCTCAAAAGCTCTGTTTTTCTGTTGATCAGACTTGCTGGGACCTCTTTTCCCAGACATTTCTTTGACATTGATGGGAGCATTTTGCAGAGTTTAGAAGAACGAAATGAAATATTAGATGAAATGTTTGTTTGCTTTCTCTATATAGAAGCATTGCATGAAGAAAGATGAAGCCCGTCTCCCTCTACAGAGCAGACAGACCCATTAGCACTGTCCGATCTGCCGCACACAGCTTTTATCTCCCTCCGAATGTGCCATCTCTTTATTTTCACCCGTAGCCTCTGTCTGAGGATATCAGACAGATGAAAATATACTAAACACTTAAAAAAAACAGCCAAGCATTCACAGCTTTTGTATGCATATTGATTTGTGTAGTTGACACTGTTAGAGACACACACACTTCAAGAGACGTTTCCATTGAAAAATCACAAAAGAGATCTTTTTAATATCTTAATGATTTTATGACTGTCCCTCAAAAAAAGCCCTGACTTAAGAACAATAAAACTAGAACTTCATTAAACATCTTTATTTTCCAAAAAGGCATCAAAAATACATACATAAATTCATTCTTTACACAATAATCTACAAATAATGGTTCATATTGCATTATTTATGTGACTGTTTACATGATTGCAAAGTGTGTTCACAAGTTTCAGTGTGTGCGTGTGTATGTATGAATATTTATTTTTCAAATTTCTTCTCAGCTGCTCCAGGTGAGTCTGAACCCAGACGGGAGAACGGCAGACTGGGCTGAGAACTTCACAAACACAAGGTTTGAAGAAGCTCTGAAAGGAGCGATATTTGTCTCCTGCAAAAAAAGCAAAGAACAATTAAGTCAAGTCAAGTCACCTTTATTTATATAGCGCTTTTAACAATACAGATTGTGTCAAAGCAACTGAACAGCATTAATTAGGAAAATAGTGTGTCAATAATGCAAAATGACAATAGTAAACACTCATTTTTCAGTTAAAGACAGTTCTCATCATTGAATTCAGTGACTTCAACATCCAGCTCAGTTTAAATAATATCTTTGGAATCAAGTCAACGATATCGCTGGAAATGAAGTGTCCCCAATAGAATCAATTACATATCCATATATCATTTGAGTATATAGTACACACTACTGTTCAAATGTTTTTGGCTGGTAAGAATGTGGAATGTATTTATTTGATCAAATATACAGTAAAATATTGTGAAATATTATTGCAATTTAAAATAACTCTTTTCTATTTGAATACATTTTAAAATGATGTGATGCAAAGCTGAAATTTCAGCATTATTACTCCAGTCTTCAGTGTCACCTGATCCTTCAGAACTCATTCTAATGTGCTGATTTGCTGCTCAAGAAACTTTTCTTATTATTATCAATGTTAAAAACAGCTGTGCTGCTTCGTATGTTTGTGAAAAAAACTGATATACATTTGTCAGGATTCTCGGATGAATGGAAAGTTCAAAAGAACAGCATTTATTTGAAATAGAATGAAATAGAATCAATTTCATGTGTGTTTGCTGAATAAAAGTAATGCACAGGTAGAAAATATAGTAATACAGATGCTAGGAGTGTAATTTTTTTTCACACATACCGTTCCACAGTACGGCCCAACAACAGGTGAATTAGCATCCGGTCCATCATACAGCTTCAAGAAGTTGTTCTCACAGTCTCCTGGATCATCGATGCTGATCTGGTTGAATGTGACCGTCACCACTCTGCCGCTAGGAGCCCTAATTCCCCACTCACAGGAAGTGCCGTTGGCGTAAGTGCCAGGGTAGTTTGGACTGGCGAAAGAGCCGTGGTCTCCATATAACACACCACCACAACCTAGACACACAAAAGAAACGCAATTAGCACTCGCATTAAAACCTTTATCAGTGTTGGACTGTCTGCGACAATCGTAATATAACAAGCGTTTGTGTTTACCCTGTGGAGAGGAAGTCCAGGTGATCTCAAAGCCGTTACGGGCTGTAGTAAAGTCACTCTTGAAATATAGGAAGAGCTGGTTGCTTCCTGGGAAGACAGGATTGGGCAGTGTGCTTCCACAGTACTTCCCTAACAGAGGCGATGTGGCAGTACTGCCGTTTCTGACCTACATCAGCAGAAATAAACGTACATTAAACAGCTACATTATCATCATCACAACATAGTGCCATACTATTATTACCATACTTCTAGTATTTCTGCTGTATGTATGTAATACTCGGATCTGCATCTGCATTTACCCAAATGTGCGGCAAAGGAGTATACTGCACTGGGTACTACCGGTATATCCCATAATGCAATATACTCGCCTTGACACCTAATTAGCAATGTGACATTGACAAGCTGAAGTAATATTGGCTATGATTTAAAAAAAATAAAAAATTTAACCAATTGTTTTGGGCATTTATTTATTTATTTTTTAATTTTTTATTTACAGGCTATTATAGTATTTATTGATCTTTTGAATTAGCTTTTATTTTTATATTTGAGGTTAAATTTTAGTTTAAGGTTTAGTCATTTTTTTATTAGATTTTGACCTTTAAACATTTCTATTTAGCTTTAATTTAGAATTATTTCAGTTTTTAGTTTTAGTCATTTTAGCACTTCAACACAAACTTATTTTAATTCTTATTCTACTTATTTACTAGGGGAGCATTTAAAATGTTCAAGTTTTCCTTTCAATATTTGTTATTGATTTTTTTTTATTTCATTTCAGTTCATGAAAATTATTATAGTTTTCGTTTTAGTTTACAGTAACAACGTTAGATGATCAAGTCAAGTGACAATGTAGTATACTACTGCTTGAAATGTTCGTTTTATTTATTCATTTGTTTGTTCGTTTTTTGTTTTTATTAGTATGTAGTATTTAGCGTATACTGCATTTTCATTCTATAAGTGTTTTCACATTTTTCTTCTCATTGCTGTTAATCTACACTGGATTATGTACCTTCAGATAATCCTGGGATAATTAGGATTGAAACGGTTATTTTTGTTAACTAAAACATTTTGTTAATTAAAATAAAGCTGAAATGAAATAAATACAAATATCGGATGTTTAACTGAAGCATTGAAATTGCCAATACTAAAATGAAAACTATAATGGAACAAAAACTAAAACTGAAAAAATGTAATTAAATTAAAAAAATGACAAAAGCACAAAAAAAATGTAACTTAAATTTTTTTTTAAAAATCTGATTTTTTTTCTATTACTCAGGCTATGTCCATAATTAAATCAGATATATTTGAAAACAGTGTTTTTGTCTCAAACCGCTCTGCATTCTGCTGTGCTTTCCCATTTTTTCTTCACATTGCTGTTAATCTGGTGGCAATTCAGTATGTTTATCCTCACCTCAAGATAGTCGAAGTTGCAGGAAGGATGATTTTCCACATCAAAACTGGTGAAGAACAGAGAGATGACGCTGTTCTGAGGGGCCTGCAGTACGACGCTGCATTCAAGACTATGAGGGTATATGTCAGGCCAGCCTGGGCTCTTCAGGTAACCGTATTCCTGTTCATACACCCTGCTGCAGCCTGCAGATACGTAATATTCAGACATAATATAACCACACCAGCAAGAGTAAAACACTTCTAGTAATCATAGGGAAAGGACTCACCTGCCACCTGAAATGTGAGGCTGAATCCGTCGCCAGTCATGAAGAGGTCTGATTTGAAGGTGATGTGCATGGTGCGGCCATAACTGTAGAAGTCTGGCACATGTGAGTCAGTGCCACAGAACTTATGAGCCTGTCCATAATCTCCCTGAGAGACAAAAATTCAAACAAAAATGGTAAAGACATTCTGTTGCCAAAATACAACTTGAAAGTTTTAAAGTGAAGATAGCAAACTTCATTAAACTTGAATATGTAGCTGTATGATAAATGGCAGTGGAAAGATAGATATAGTAGAAAACTATGTTTAAATAAGATGAAATAGTAAATCTAAAAATAATAATCATAAAAAAATTACTTGTATATGTATAATTTTTTTCCACAATATTTTAAATGCATATTTGAGATCAAGTGACAAATACAATAAGGTCGAGAAAATGCATATGACTGTTTGAAATGTTTAGTTGTTATTTAAAGAAAAAAATAATAGGCAGCATTAATAAACAAATTTTATTCTGAACGGGTTTTACTGCTATGTAAACAGTGCTTTGTTCTGCAATCCAGTGTAATCTTGGGACACTTAGGATTGTTATTATTGTTAACTAAAACTATTAAAAACATTTTGTTAATTAAAATAAAGATTAAATATTATATGTTTAAGCTGAAGCCTTGAAATCACTAACTGAAAAGAAATGAAAAACTATAATGGAACAAAAACTAAAACTGAAATGAAAAAAAAAGAAAATAATAATAATAAAAATGACAAAAGCACAAAAAATTAAATAAATGACATTTAAATAAATATTACATGTCAAATAAAAAATAACATTAAAAACTTAATTAAATCGGATAGATTTGAAAACTGTGTTTTCATCTAAATACGCTCTCCAAATGTATCCACATTTTCAAATTTATCCACTTAGCATTTTCAAATTTATCCATTTGGCAAAGCGTCTTCAAAAAGCTCTCATTTTGTTGGACTAGATCATTGTCTCATTGTAAATAGATAAAAAGATGTGGACTAGCCTACCAAAATGATCAGCCATTGTGACCTGAGAGATTCTATATTGCTTGAGTTATTTGGTGAAGCTGTGGTCGGGCGATTGATTGAGTCTCACCACAGGGAAGTCTTTAAACTCCAGGAAGTTGCTGGTGCAGCTCTGGCTGGAGTCCAGATGAAACTGCTGAACAGACACTTTCACCACCTCCTGAGAAGGAGCATCCAGCACCCAGCGGCAAGAGGCGAATGGCGGGTAGGCGTTTGGGTAATATGGGGATGTGATGGTCTGAGATGATCCTGTGGCATTAAATGCTCCACCACAAAGAGCTAAAGTATGGAAAAGCATTTTTGCATGAGTGATTCAAACCTGCAGTGATAAAAGCATCAGGACATAAAGTTTAATCTTACGGTCCACTGTGCTGTAGGTGGCAATGAAGCCACGGCGTTGAACAGTGCCGTCCGAGATGAAGTGCACGGTCAGGAAGTTACTGGCCGAGACGAAGGGGGCAGGTACTACATCTCCACAGAATGTGCCAACCAATGGATAACTAGCACTGTCACCATCATAGATCTGGAGATGGGTAAGATGTAAGTATAAAGATATAGAGTGTTCTGTGTTGGAAATGATGCAGCATTTTAATTTGTTATATTATAAGTGACAGCTTTTACCTTGACATAATCATATCTGCAGAGGGTTCCAGTGGAGCCTTCGAGCTCAAAGGATGTGAATGTGAGGTTAATGCCTTTATTGGCCTCCACTGCAATGGTCCACATACAGTCCATACGTGGCTCGTACTGACCATTCATGTCAATATCAGGAGAACCAAACGTTCCGGTAGGGGAAGAAGACAAGTAACCGCCACAGCCCTGCTGAGGACCTGGAGCAAACCATGGATGAGGAGATAGAAAGAGAGAGTGAGAGAGATTTACAACAACTGTAGGATGTGCTTTCAAGAAACTACCTGCAAGAGGCAGTAGAGTCCACAAAAGTGACAAAATGTGAGTTTTTGTCTTTATGTCTTAGATTTAAAGCCTATTGTAGAAGTTGTCCAAATGAACTATTACCAGATTCATTTCAAATAATAAAAAAGCAGATTAAATGTACTCATCTTGTTCTGAAGGCGTACGCATTTTTGTCCAAACAAATATTCTTTGAATAAGAACGTCCTTCTGCATGATAACATGTCTCTGACTAAAAGTAAAACTAAGCTAAAACTAAAAACTAACATGTAAGATAATATTATATGACGTTAATATTACAATAATATATATATATATATATATATAAACATTTATAATTATTATATAACAGCATTTATTTACATTTAGTTATATTATAGTTAATATTATATGAAGTGAATATTACATTGATGTAAATTATAATTAAATAAAAATATGTATAATATTAATTATATATAATATAATATAATATAGATTTACATTCTCAAAAATTAAATTTAAGCTATTATAAGAAAGTAAAAGAAATATTATATATAATATTATATAAATATTTTATTATATTTACAAACATAAATTGAAGTTAATATTATAAAGGTAATACAATTAAGATTACACTTAAAATGAATAATACAGTTAATATATAGTTTAACATTTTTTTAAATTAATGTAAAATAAATTCAATAATGTAATGTCAAATTTCATTCAATAAATGAATTAAATGTATATAACTAAAAATACTGCGTTTATTTGCATATAAATTGTAGGACACTACAAAAGAATTAGGAGCACTTAGTGGCTCTTCGACAGCACTGGCCAATAAAGACTTATGTCTTGTTTTCGGTCAGGGCGAAGGAACAGACTCTTGTGGTCTGAATGAGTTGTGCTGTTCTCAAAGAACAACAGTGGCGCTTGTAGGATGGGGTGGTATTTACATTTATAAAAGTAAATAAAATTGAAGTTAATATTATTATAAGTAAAACATATTTTTATTATATTTATTATTTGTAAGTTAATATTATATTAGTTCATAAAAGTACACTTAAAATAAAGTTAATATAATATCGTTTTTAAATAACAATTAATTAATGGAAAATAAATTAAATAATGTAATGTTAAATTCCATTCAATAAATGAATTAAATGTATATAACTAAAAATACTGCGTTTATTTGCATATAAATTGTAGGACACTACAAAAGAATTAGGAGCACTTTAGTGGCTCTTCGACAGCACTGGCCAATAAAGACTTATGTCTTGTTTTCGGTCAGGGTGAAGGAGTAGACTCTTGTGGTCTGAATGAGTTGTGCTGTTCTCAAAGAACAACAGTGGCGCTTGTAGGATGGGGTGGTTCACTCAACACCCCCAGAGACGAGCTACAAAAGTGTTTACAACTCAGATCTTAAAGAGCCTGGTCATCCTGAAGTGACTGGTGCATCAGACGCTTTAAAGCACAAAGCTGTTACAAAGAACACTGTTTATGACCCCTGAACACTTTGTTCAGTCCTCAATGAGATCTTTGTCCTTGTGATTCACTATGAAATCCTCCACCCATTGTTCACACTATTCCAAAATGAGAACCATAAAGGAACAAGGTCAAAGTATCACACATCTTGATCTGTGAGCAACAAGTCAGTTACAGTCTTTTGAATCAGATGATGAAAAAAAGGGAGAAGAATCATTTTTGGTTCTCCAAAGAACCTTTCGGTGAACCGTTCTTAAAGGAACCATTTAAAATTCAAATTCTTCAAAAAATTAAAGAACCATTTTTCCACTATAAAGAACATTTTGTGGAATGGAAAGGTTCCATAAATGTCAAAGTTTCTTCATGGAACCAAACAGACCAATAAGGAGGCTGCAAGGAGGCTCATTGCTGATGTATGAAATGGAGAAACACTACCTAAAGTCTCACTGTAGGTTGCTCTCCAACCCTCTGCAGCAACCGACGAGTCTGTAACAAACTCGAGAAACAAATGCTTGGATGAAGATCTGAGGTTGGGCGGTAGTTCACGTCCACAGAACTTCCCCACTAGTGGGGCCAGAGTGTTCTCTCCATCATACACCGCCACATAGTCATAGCGGCAGGTCGAGGAGGCTTCAAGACTGAAAGAGTTGAACCTATCGGACAGGAAAAAATACATACCGTTGATGATTACTATGAAAATATTGCAGAACAATCTAGTTTCTCAGAAAGTGATACCACTAATGGGAGAGGGGGGTTTCCCTGAAAGAAAGCCTCTAGGGACCAATTTACGGGTGAAGGGTTTCCTGTCTGGCATCAATACAAGATCTCAGTGGGGTTTACTGAACAAAGAGAAAGACAGATGATCAATACAAGAATGCTTTTCTCTCTGGTGGAACATAGCGGGCATGATGGATGCCTAGCAGGATTCAAGCTGTAAGGATTTTTACTTTTATTGTTGTTCTAATTTGGATCTGTGTAGACCAAAGAGAATGTGGTTGAGGATGAGGGTCCGTAAAGAAATGGTAGGTACGAAAGTTAAAAAATTTGTAGAACATGAGACTTAGCAATTGATTTTTATATGGTTTTATAATGTCAAAACTTGCCCTGAGACATTTCCTTGATTATGTATCGGCATTTATTAAAGGGATAGTTAATTAATTACTCACCCTCATGTTGTTCCAAACCCTTAAGACCTTTGTTCATCTTTAGAACACAAATTAAGATATTTTTAATGAAATCCGAGAGCTCACCCTACATAGACAGCACAAAAATTACTCTCATAGCTTCATAAAATTACGGTAGAACCACTGATACATTGACTATTTTAACAATGTCCTTACTACCTTTCTGGGCCTTGAACTTGGTAGTTACGTTGCTGTCTATGCAGGGTCAGAAAGCTCTCGGATTTCACCACAAACATCTTAATTTGTGTTCTGAAGATGAATGAAGGTCTTACAGCTTTGGAACGACATGATGGTGGGTAATTATTGACAGAATTTTCATTTTTGGATGAACTATCCCTTAAAAGTTTTTAATGACCATTTTCGATCCTTAGAATGTGAATTGTAAATTTGTGAATTGGGACCCAGTTTTGAGTTCTGAAACTTACAAAATGTTTTTGTGTCTATGACAATATATTTTCAAAACCTAAATAAAACGATTCCTAATGATATGACTTCTTCAAATCACTTGGATCAAACTCACTTGAGATCAATGACACGGTTGTCACGAACATATATGTAGTATGTGCAGTTGATGTTGTGATGGTAGTTGGTGATAGAATGAGATGGACTGCTGATTGTCCCAGAAGTACCATTAAACACACCACCGCATGCTGTTAAAAACACATGAACACACATATTGATATACAGATGTACAGTAACATATACACAGTAATCATATAAACCAACATGTAGGGATGTAATTCATAGGAACAGCCCTAAATGTATTTAAATGTGCTTGAGGCTGACAGCTATTCTTTGAGAAATTTGGGCTGTCTTCCCATAGAGCACCAAGTCAAATAGTACTTGACTGTGCATTTCTATTGTGCACCATTTACAGTGAATGAGTTTGTTTGTGGAAGTAACAATGGAATCTGTTGCAAATGGAATTCTCTTGCATATTTGCATATTCTCCCAAATCCCCTCATATTGTTTGAAAAGTGCAGCGTCCTCTCATTCCAGATTCTGCTCATTCCACATTTCTGGGCTCAGTGAATCAGATGATAAACAACCCAAACTTACTCTAGCACACATTTACACTGAAGCCAAACCTCCTTCTAAGCCACATCCTTTATCACCACATAATATAGTATACAGAGAACCAAAAAGTATTGCATTAAATGTACAGTTTGTTTTGTGGTTGAGGCTTACGTATGGTTCTGTATTCTGCCAGGAAGCCATTGTCATGGATGATAGAATCAGAGTAGAAGTTGATGAGCATTGGTCCAAATGTGGTGAAGACGCCTGGAATGGTATTTCCACAAAGAGTAGCCAAGGGAACACCACTGGTGGTGATGCCACTATAGATCTTTACACCATCATAGACACATGTGGAGTGTGCTAGAGGAGATGGAAATGCATGATTATTCACTTTACAGAACTGCTGTTATCCTTTGAGTTATTTTTAGATTTCTTATATCAAGATGTATGAAACAATTAGTGATTTTTGAGGAGGAGGCATACCCTCTAACTGGAAACTTTTAAAAGTAAGCACAATCACGGTCTGATCTCCAGCATCAATAATGTAATTACAGTTGGAGCCTCCCGGGTAGTGGTCTGGGTAGTTTGGAGACACGACACGGCCAGTTGAGGCTGTGAAATTGGCCCCACAACCTAAAAGATGATATGAAATAGAGACATTACATTATTTGAATTTTTTGACAGGGACTGAAACCTGTTACATACTATACATATGATACATACTAGTGTAGAATGCAGCAGAGAAGCCTTTGCCAGGTGTATCTGAGGACTGGAAACGAGCCGTAATAACATTTCGGGGGGCAATGACTACAGCTGGGGCTGTAGTGCCACAAGCAGTGGCCAAGAGATTCTCATCATTCTGTACATTGTCAGTCCACACCTGTCAGATAAATATAGACAGAATATGAAAAATCAATCACCAGATCCCAAAAATGCAACATCAGGGAATGGTCATCTGTTTACCTTGATGTAACTGTTTTGACACTGTCCACTTGAGTCTGGAATCTGGAAGTCACTGGCAAAGCCCATCTCTAGATGGTTTCCATCATGAGCGATGATGGTCCAGGAACATTCAGTATTGGCTGGGAAATTCTGAGGATAATTGGGAGATTTGATGGTGCCTGTATCAGCATGGATAATTCCTCCACATCCTGAAGAAGAGAAAGACATTTGAGGAAAAAAAAGTAACTTAATATGTAAAATGCCTACAGAAAGTAGACAGGATCTTATATATATATATATATATATATATATATA